AAGTGGACGCCTTGTTCTTGGCATCCACTATGGGACGATCCCGAACGCGTTTCCGACTGGTGATGGCCTCCTCCTCCTCGTCTTCTTCCTCGCTATCAGATGGAACGGTATGGACCGGAGCATTCACAGGACCCGGAACTCCTTTAGCACGGAGGTACATCTGAAGCATCTTCGGGATCTCAGCAACAGAATCGAAGTTCCGCCATTCCCATTGAAAGGGATCACTTTCCAGAGCCCTAATCTTCCTCTCCACCCGAGCGATGCGAGCCTCGAGTGTTTGCCTTTTGAGACCTAGCCGCTGCCTTTCCTCACACAAGCGACGGTGTTTGTCGGCGACCTAGCATAAAGATGAATGAATAAAACGAAACAAAAAGTTTTTAATCAAGAACCACGGATGTTAACCTTGCCAATAAAGTCGCAAGCCTCTTTCTTCTCCTTTGAAGGAAAATGAAAGACGGCGTGAGGGAAAAGAACGCCGGCCGGTTCAAAGCCATCGCCCGACAAGAAAAGTGGGCTGCCGGGATCAATGGGGGCTACGTTTTTGTTTTCCATTAATTTAGTGTTTGTCGAATGGATTATGAAGTTTCTTGAGAAAAGATTAAAGGTAAACAATCTCCTATTTATAATAGGAATAGGGTTTGTCTTGGAAGAAAAAAAATCATTAATGATGGCGTGCCCAAGTAACTTAAACCATTTTTGGAAATCAAGAAAAGACAGTTATTGCATTAAAGATGAGCCGCTTTTCCTACTTTCAAGAAATAAGAAGGGAAAGAGCTACCGTCGCATTAACTACAAAAGTTTCTGAGGCCCAAGCCCAATAAATTTACCGAGTTGACTGAATCCGAAGTGGGGAACTCGCTTTAAGCCGAGCTCAGTTCTCGCATTCTAAAGAGAAAGGTCTGATCAGCCTAAAAATCTCGAAAGCATAAGCACAAGGCCACAAAGGGTTAAAAGCGGACTTTGCAAACCCGCACATAATTTTAACCAAACCCCCTTGGGGTCAAAACCTAGAAAGGTTTAAAAGCCTCCTCAGGCAAATATCTTGTTCAAAAGAAATAATAAAGCCTCCTTAGGCAAAAACAAGTTCGAACTTAAGTTTCAAAATAAATGGGACAATTCCCAATTTAAAGTGGACGCAGCCACTACGGAGTGACATCCACCTCGGACTCCGGCTCGATACTCGCCGTTTCATTCGCCTCCTTGGCTGGTGTTTGGTCAGATGGAGCTCCTGGTCCGCCCTCCACAGTACAACCATCATCCTGGGGTGACCTCCGGTGCCGCAGGACTTCG